CCCTGGTATATGCTTATATCGCTAAGCTTTGTATTATTTTCAAGTGCCTGACATTTACTAGGATTTAGTAAATATTTGTTCAATAAAATTTTAATGAAAGATTAATTTTACAAATTCTGTTTTCCTTACAGCTTAATTAAATTGGTCTTTGTAGATGAGGTAATCCAGTTTACTCAGAGGACAAGCCAAGCTTCAGAATGACAGATTATATCCTCTGGGAAGAAATCTATATACCTGTTCCCTACACCCTTCTTCCCCTCTAGCAACCATCATTGTGTTGTCAGAGTCTAAGAATTTGGTTTTGCTTTCATTGTGTTACACAAATGAGTGAAATCATATGGTATGTGTCTTTAGCCTTCTGATTTATTGCACTTAGCATAATCCCTTCAAGGTCCATCTATGCTGTTGCAAATGGCAAGGTTTCATCTTTTTCATGGCTGAGTAATATTCCAGTGTTCATATCTATCACATCTTTTTTATGTAGTCATCTGATGTTGGTCACTCAAATTATTTCCTTATCTTGGCTATTGTAAATTGTGCTGCAGTATACATCAGAGGTTTCATATGTCTTTTCTAGTCAGTGTTTTCATATTTTTTGAATAAATACCCAGAAATAGGATGACTAGATCATATAATAGTTCTATTTTTTTTTAAATTTATTTATTTTTATACAAGAGCTGGGGTACAGGCCAGAGGCACTGGAGGGTGAGAGGATTCACCAGACACAGAGTGGGGAGCAGAACAGGCAGATGACCGAAATACACTGCTGAGGGGAGTAGCAGGCACAACAGGAGAGGTCTGCTGTGCCATGTGGGACTCTCCTTGGCTGGCCAGTAATCAAACTGATGCTGCAGAGGCTGCGGACAACCTTCACAGCGCTGCACTCAACCCGCTGCGCCACCGGGGAGGCCCAGTTCTATTTTTTTTTTTAATATATTTTTTGCATCATTTTCATCTTGGTTATAGTCCCCGTACAATTCCCACCACCCTTGTTTTGATCCTACTCCTTTCAGTAGTTCTATTTTTAATTTTTTGAGAATCTCCATACCATTTCCCATAGTACCTACAACAATTTACATTGTAACCAAGAGTGTATGAAGATTCCTTTTTTTCTCACATTCTTGGCAACATTGATTATTTTCACTTTTTGACAACAGCCATTCTAACTGGTGTGAGGTGAAATTGCATTATGGTTTTGATTTGCATTTGCCTAATGATAAGAGATATAAAACATCTTTCCATGGATTTGTTGGCCATTTGTATGTTTTCTTTTTTTTTTTTTTTTTTTCATTTGTATGTTTTCTTTGGTGAAATTTCTATTAGATCCTATGCCTATTTTTAGATTGTGTTTTACATGTTTATTTGTTGTTGAGTTGTAAAGTTGTTAATTTGTTTTGGATATTAACCACTTCCCAGATGTATGGTTTGTAAATATGTTCTCCCAGTCAGTAGAGTGCCTTTTCATTTAACAATGGTTTTTTTTGCTGTGCAGAAATTTTTTAGTTTGATGTAGTTAAATTTATTTATATTCTTTTTTGTTTTTCTTGTTAGGAATTAATAACTATTTGTTAAATAAAATTTTAATGAAATTAAACTGTTGGAGAAGAATCCACAAAGACATCACTAAGACTGATGTCAAAGAACTTATTACATACATTTTCTTCCTTATATTTTATGGGTTCAGGTCTTATATTTCTAGTCTTTAATTCATTTGAATTGATTTTACTATTTGGTTTATAAGAGCGATCTAATTTCATTCTTTTGCATGTGACTGTCTAGTTTTTCTCATACCGTTTATTATAAAGACTTAGCTCATATATGTGTGCTTTTATTTATGGGCTCTCAGTTCCATTCTGTTAGTCAGGGAGCCTGTTTTTATTCCAATACTATACTGTTTTGATTGTAGCTTTGTAGTATAGTTGAGAGTCAAGGAGCATCATACCTCCATTTTTGTTCCTTATTTTCCCCAGGATTATTTAGCTATTTAAGAGATTTTGTGTTTCATGCAAGTTTTTGGTTTTCTTCAAAGAATGCCTTAGAGATCATAATAGGTATTGCATTGTATATTGTTTTAGGTAGAGTGGCCATTTTGACAATTAAATAGTTACTATTTTCACTTTAATAGTTTCATAATTCAGCTGAAAAGCAAATTTTTATCTTTCTTATGTGTATATCCTAGATGATTTGTTGTAAACAGAGGACTTCATTTGTAGGTGAGCCTGGGTCTAGTATGTGGGCTTTGATGTGATTGGAAGCTGTAGTTAGGTGGAGTGTAGGGCAGTAGTGGCACACTGGACAATAACTTGACTGTTCAGGGCTTCATTCTCCTTACTGGAAAATGAAGAGTTTGAATGGATAGCAAGGTTAAAATAAATAACCTAATTGGTATATTCTTTTTTTTTTTTAAGATTTATTTATTTATTATTTATACAAGCACTGGGTACAGTCAGAAGTGAGGGAGGGTGAGAGAATTCACCAGAGTCAGAGCGGGGAGCGGAGCAGGCAGAAGGACCAAGTACACTGCTGAGGGGAGCAGCTGGTGGCAGAGGGGTCTGAGCTCCATGCGGGGAAGCAGCCGGGGATTGAACTGGCGCTGCAGAGGCTGCGGGCAGCTTCGCAACCCAGCGCTCAACCGCTGTGCCACTGGGGAGGCCCCTAATTGGTATATTCTTGTGTTTATTTCTAGTGTCTGGTATCTGACATAAATTCATTTATACATATGGTTACCTGAAACTATTTGTTAATACATTTTATATTTTGAAAAAAAAGTGTGGATAAAATTTAGCCCATCTCCTCCTTCTACCATCTCCCACATCACACCCACATTACTAGATTTTTAGCTGTCTATTTTCTTCACATTTATCTAGTATTTTTGTTTCTTCACTTGGCCAATGATAGTGCTTATATGCTTGGAGAGAATATTTATGTAGTCTACAGGTGATGCATTGGAGCCTGGAACTTCTCCAAAGATTTCTGAAGCTCCCTAGTTATCCATTTGTGTGCCTTCCCCTTGCTTTTTTCATAATTTTCTTTTAAATTAAATTTATTTATTTTCTTACATCATTGTTAATTTTTGTTATTGATCTCTCCTCTCGGGTGTAGTCTCCATAGTTCTCCCACCACCATAGCACCCGTGATCCATCGCCATAGTCCCTTGTTCTCTCCCCTGCCCTATTTTGACCCCTTCCCCCTTCCGTTTTCATGATCTTCCTGAAGTGATTTGTCCTGTAGCTGTGACCATGACCAAGTTATGTGCTGAGAGTCGTGTGAGAGAGTGAACTGCTATGATGTTTCTGCATGTGGCTGTCAGGTTTTCCCAGGACCATTTGTGGAAGAGACTTTCTTTCTCCATTGTATACTTTTGGTTTCTTTGTTGTAGATCAACTGTCCATATAAGTATGAGTTTATTTCTGGGTTCTCAGTTCTCCATTGGTCTGTGTCTATTTTTTGTTCCAATACCATATTATTTTGATTATTATACCTGATAGTATAGTTTGAAGTCTAGGAGCATTAATATCTCCTCCTCTTCTTTTTTGTCAAGGTTGCTTTGGCTATTCAGGGTCTTTTGTGATTTCATATAAATTTCAGTAATATTTGCTCTAATTCTTAGAAGAATTCCATTGAGACTTTGGTTGGAATTACATTGAATCTATGTGTTGCTTTGGGTAAAATGGTCATTTTAACTATGTTAATTCTTTCAGTCCACAATCATGGATTATCTTTCCATTTCTTTGTATCTTCTTTTGTTTCTTTTGGCAATGTCTTACAGTTTTCACTGAATATGTCTTTCTCTTCCTTTTATTAGATTTATTTTTAGGTATTTAATACTTTTTGATGCTACTTTAAATGAGATTTTGTTGATTTCTTTCACTTCTGGCTCATTATTTGCATATAGGAATGCAAAAGACTTGTATGTTGATTTTTTAATCTGCCATTTTGCTATAGTGATTGTTTCTATAGTTTTTTTTTTTTAATGGAGAATTTAGGGTTTTCTGTGTATATGATGATGTCATTTACAAATAGTCAGAGTTTTACTTTTTCAAACATGTTATGTTACATTCTGACTTTTTTGTGTGAAACATGAATATTTTTCACTTAATGAAATGTTCTTCTAAACATGGTGGTTTATATTAACTTCATGGTAATTTGTCCTGTAGTTACACATGACATAACTCCATATTATGGGATGCAGTATGGGTCGTTAAGAGTATAAGGTCTGAAGCAGATATCTTATTTTTTATTAGCTGTGGCCATGACCAAGTTATGTACTCATCCCATTCCTCAGATAGAGATAACAGTAGTACTGACCTTATATTGGTTAATGTGAAGATTAAATAAACTATTTCATAGAGTACTTAAAACACTTAGAGCACTTAAAATAATTTTCTTAACAGATTCTATTATTAAGGCATTATTATTTTATCATTTATAATTAGTTTGCACATGGTAAGTAGTCAGCAAACATTTATTGTTATTTACTTACAGTTTCCAACTTTTTGATGTTATAAAACTGCCGTGAATATCTTTTAAGAGGAAAGGATTTTCTCTTATTTTTTCCCTAAGATAAAGTTTTAGGAATAGAATTAAATCTTTGATACTTACTGTTGAATCACCTCCACAGAGGTTGTTCTAATGTGTATTCCCTATAGCACTGTAAGAGAAAAAGCACACATTCCACAATGACACCTCCCATGGCACAGTGGCTGACGTGGTTTCTGGAAGTGGATTATAGTGGAAAATAACCATGGCTCATGTTGAGGATTTTTGCAGTTCTCCAGAATCATCAGCTAGTTGGCATTCATTCAACTTACTATTCCTTTTCAATAGTTATATAGTCTTCAGGTAAAGATAAGAAAACATTAAAAGCAGGTTCTTTTATGTTTTAAATATATTAGTCTGATTTTTTTACTTGAAAATACATGCGTATTAATATGAAAATCTGCACTTGACTACATTGTTAAGATTTTGCCCCACTGAAACTAATATTTTCTATTTTTAAGAAAAATGCAACCAGCCTTGGGATCAGTCAGCCCTCCAGACTCCATGTTGGTGCAATGGCCTCAGCCACCAAGGTCAGTCATTTCCTCATCAGAAAAAAACCTGACTCTACAAATGTTTCATTAGTGGACAGGGCCTGTTAAGAAGGCTCATGGTGCCTGGATGTCACCAAAGTTTGTGAACAAAGTTTCATTTCTGTGCTGGAGGAGGGAGGTGTAATTTATTGATAATGATTTGAATAATTTAAAACCTAGTAAAGCCATATATGTTATAATTCTTCCTGATACATAGTAATGTGTCTGATAAAGTACCATGAATAGCTATAGGATCTCTATTGGACTTCTGTATATACTGTGAGTAGAAATATAGTCCTCCTCTAATTCAGAAAATAATTTAGATTTAGCTGCCTGCTACATACTTTGTGTAATTATCTTCTGTAATTCCCTTATAATCTTAGTGCTTTATACCTGAGAAAACCAAGACTCAGAGACATGAAGTTACCTTGACAAGAAACAGAGCTAGTAAGATGGAGGGAGTGTTCAAATCTAGGTTTCCTGTTCATGCAAGATACTCAATAGGCCTGCCCTCAGGAGCTCTTATTGAACATTCTTTGGCAATGTAACACTTCAAAGTTTTGAAACTTATAAAGATCACTGAAATTTTGCCTTTCCAGACAAGAAACTACAGTTTTAGCTAGTTTCCAAAATATAAAATAATTATGTTTAATGTTTTTTTTTTTTTTTTTTATAGAGGCATGTTTTATTTATTTATTTATTTGTTTGTTTTGTTTTGTTTATACATGCATTGGGTACAGTCAGAAGCATGGGAGGGTGAGAGAATTCACCAGAGCCAGAGCGGGGAGCAGAGCAGGCAGAAGGACTGAAGTACACTGCTGAGGGGAGCAGCGGGCGGCAGGAGAGGTCTGCACGCCAAGTGGGACCCTCCTCTGGTGGCCGGGGAGCAGCCGGGGATCGAACCGGCGCCGCAGAGGCCGCGGGCAGCTTCGCAACCCAGCGCTCAACCGCTGCGCCACCGGGGAGGCCCTGTTTAATATGTTTTAACTTATGTTCTTCCAGTATGTTCAAGATCCTCCAAACCCTTAGCTTATTTCAGGATTATTTCCACACTGTTTGTTTTTTATTAATTTTTTTAAATTGAGGTAAATAGTTTGTATTGAGGTGCTGGTTCACATCATTGTTTATATTTTGGAAGTATAGAATATCGCCCTAGGTTGTTACCATAATGCTCCCACCAGCAAACACCCACAGGCCACCACCATTGTGTCCTGGTCCACTTTGTTCTTGTTCCACTTTATTCTTACCCCCCTCCCCCAGCCATAACCTTATAGTCAGCTTTCAAGTGTTGATATTTGAGTTTGACTTTATCTGACCCTTTGTTTGGTTTCTCTATATTCTACCTATAAGTGACACCATTTAGTATTTGTGTTTTTCCTTCTGAGTTACTTTGCTTAGCATAATCCCTTCCGCCTCCATCCATGTTGCAGCAAATGGCATGAATTTATCTTTTCTGATAACTGAACAGTACTCACCATCTATATACACCATACCTTCTTGATCCACTCTTCTGTATTTGGCACTTAGGTTGCTTTCAAGTTTGGCTATTGTTAATAGTGCTAGTATGAACATGGGAGTGCAGGTTTCCCTTTGAATTAGTGTTTTTGTGTTCTTTGTGTATATACCTAGGAGTGGAATTGCTGGGTCATATTGCAGATTCTATTTTAAGTTTTTGAGACACCTCCACACTGTTTTCCATAGTGATGGGACCAGTCTGCATTCCCACCGTCAGTGTACGAGGATTCCTTTTTCTCATACCCTTACCAGCCAGCACTTGCTGTTTTTGGCCTTTTTGATGTGGGTCATTCTACCAGAGCAGCCGGGGATCGAACCAGCGCTGCAGAGGCTGCGGGCAGCTTCGCAACCCAGTGCTCAACTGCTGCGCCACTGGGGAGACCCAACACACCTATTTCTTTTTTTAATGACAAGTTGAAAGGGCTTTAACACAGTATGATCATTTAAAAATAATTATCATTTCTGATTCATCATTTAGAAAAGCTGGGGATATTATTTGTGATTGTATAACTGTGATTGCTTTTACTGTACAATTAATTATTATACAAAAACAAAACAATATTCTCCCAACACATTCAGAAAAGGCATGACACAGTAGTAAATATATAATCAGCCATGAGTATTGGTCCTGGTTTTCTTGATTCTAGACATAGTCAACTTGAAAGTTAAAATTAGTGATACTTTACCATTGTTAATACAACCTTAGAATATGCCTTAAAAATGCACTGTGTGTTGCATAATAGTTACCATGTATTGCAGAACTATTTCATGAGAATTTTTACACAATGAGCAAATAATGTGCACAAGTAATATCACTTCTGTCATGCAGTGCTGGCCTTGGATGATCCAAAACACTTTAGTGGCATAGATATTTCTAACTCAGGTTAATTACTGAAAGATGTTTAGTGCTTTAGAAAAAATCAATTTTGGGGGCCTCCCTGGTGGTCTAGGGGTTAAATCTCAACACTATCACCCCTACAGCCTGAGTTCAACCCCTGCCAGGGAGCTAACCCACATAGAGTGCAGCAGACTTCTCTTGTCTCACCCAATGCTCCCTGTAGCAGTGTATTTTAGTAAATTTACAGGTTCTGCTCCCCACTCTGTCTTTGGTGAATCCTCTCATTCCCCCCTACCTTCACTTCTGGCCTACACCCCAGTTCTTCTACACAAAAATAAATAAATTTTAAAAATTAAAAATTCAATTTTTGATAGATTAATAATGTGGATTACTGAGGCTACAGAAATTATACAGATTCTTATTAAATTCAGTATGAAAATAGTTGTGATCCATAATCAGTCATGCAATTTTACTTGTCTAGAAGAGTTCTCAGACATCTTCTACTGTAATCTCTGTTGTAACCATCTCCTTGTTCAGATGAGGAAACTGAGGTGGAGCTTGCATTAAGAATGTCTCTGCAGAAGATCACAACTGTTAAGAACATGCAATGGTTAAGGTTTTTTGTCCCTGACTAGTTAAGGCCAAAAAGGAATTTCTTAAGGGACAGTGGGTCACTTGGTGAGAAATTCAAAAGTCTCCAGCAGAAAGAATCTAAAGTCCCAGCCAGGAACAATGCCCATTCCCTCTCGGGAGCTTGCCCTGCTGCCTCCACAATTTAGCACCTATGACCTTTCGGATGTGATATCAAACACTGCCAGGGCCAGTCAGTCTTGAGGACTGAAAGCCTGATAATAACAAAATTCCCAGGGGGCGGCGGCCTCATTGCATTGCTCACTGCCACACTCACTCTTGTAAGGCACATTTGATTGGCTGGTGAGTCATATGCCTCCACCCTGCCACGGGGAACTCTTTCATGTGAGTGTTCTGGCTCCTAGTTTGGAAGGGCATATTGCTTAGCTAGGAAATTGTCGCTATGTGGTGAGGGTTCTCAAATGCGTGGCCAGCTCCCAACTGACAGATCCCCGCTATAGAAAGGGAACAGAATTACCTAATTGAAGCAAAGGAAAATAACTAATGGTAGATTGTTCAGCAACCTTAAACCTTTTAAACAGAAGAAGATACCAGCAAGTTTTCTCCCAGCTAATAAGCTAGAAGAAACAAGCCAAGGAATAAGCACCCATCAGAGAAATACTTTTGTGATTTGGGTCCCAGTTCTGCCATAAAGAGCTGTGCTAACTTTGGCAGATGGCTCTCCTTTCAGGTGCTAACCTTCCCCCTCAGTAATATGAGTGAGGGGCTGAAGGACTTGTGTGTTATGGAAAGTATTCTGGCATTCAGCGTCAGCCTCTCCCACAGGCCCCTTGGGCTGCATGTAGTTTGTGAGGTGACTGTGTCAAACAGACAACCCTTTTTGTTTTAATAACTATGCATATATATTAACGTGCTTTAAAAAGTAAACCCATGATCCCATAATTTTTGTTTAAAATAAGACTGAATTAAAGGTTAAAAAGTAAATCTATTTTTTAAATACTAAGTAAATATAGTTATGACAGGTTTGAAAAATACTATGCAGGCAATGCGCAAGTAACCTGTTTGGGGAAAAGACCAGAGAAATACCTCTCATTTTATTGTGTGTCTTTAATCAGTGGGGTTTCTGTTAAAATGAAGGTTCTGATTCAGGAAGGCTGGGGTGATGTTGAGATTCTGCGTTTATTTCTTTGTGGGACCCTTGCTGGTGGCTGGGGAACGAACTGGCACTGCAGAGGCTGCGGGCAGCCTTGCAGCCCAGCGCTCAACTGCTGTGCCACCAGGGGAGGCCCAGATTCTGCTTTTCTAATGAGCTCCCAGTTCTGCTGATGCTGGTTGGGCAACCAGACCTTGAGTAGCAAGGATTCTGCCCTGTGATGGTGGTTTTGATTATACCTGTACTTTCCCTTGCCCAAGAAGTGGTTGGCGATATGGTTAAAATGAAGATTCTCAGGTTCTAGACAAGAAATTCTGATTTAGCAGAGTGGGATAAAGCCAAGGATTTAATATCTTTAATAGATAGGCACCCCCTCATACCCTTCCAGTGTTTTAGATGCAGGTGCTTTGAGAAGCACACCTGGAGAAAGTGTAAGTCAGGACCTGGAATTGCTAGTTCATCTAGGGGGCAATAATGTCCCTATTCATGTCTGAGTATGGAACCCTTTTCTACCTGCCCTGGAGGATAAAAATCTCTTCAAAAACAACATTTTATAACCGTGTAACTATTTACCTGTAATTTGCAGGAACACAGATATACTGACCTTCATGGAGGGAGATAAGCTACTTAATACCGAGGTGATAAGGCCCAGGGATCATCCTCATTGGGATGTATTATTCAAATAAATCATCCCATCTGGTTTTGTCACAGGAGAAATAACTGTCAGTGAAACCTAGGTCATCTAAGTTTTAGTTGGAAAAAAAGATGAAAGAAAATACAAATTATAAACAAAAAAGTTTTCTTTAAGCTATATATTCATTTAGAAGAATTTTAAAGACAGGGTCTCCTGCTCAGGGAATTATAAACTATTGGAGTTGAAAGTACTCTTCACCAGTTTTATTT